AATGCAAAGGCTGAGCCATCCCAACTCATACTTAAGGCACGTTTAAATGCAACTTTTACTCTTTAGAAAGTGGCAAAAGGGGGGAAAGAAAGCCTCCCATCCTGCTCACCCAGCTGCACATTCAAAAGCCCAGCCACCGGGCTCTGGCGGTGGCTCGCTTCTTCAGGAACCGACACGTATTAACGGAGCCAGATGGCTGCAGCGCTGAAGACCATGGAGACTGTGGGAATCTGTTGCACTTAACACAGTGCGCTGCCTGAGCCTCCGCGCCGGCCCGGCACAGCTGCCTGTGGCGAGGACATGGCTGTGCTCTCACCCGGTGGGCCTGCCAGGGAAGCAGCGCCTGGCGCTGTGACTGCTCCTTTTTGTAAGCAGCCAGCTACCTGGCCCTCCCAAGGCCCGGCCTGCCGAGCAGGGGCGCTGGCGGCTGGGGTGCAGGGTAGAGCACGGTCTGCCAGCTCTCTGCCCTGAACGAGGCGTTAGCTCTCCTGGGCCCTGGGATCAGACCTCTGAGAGCAGCTCTGTGTTTCATGCCTCCTTCCCCACACCCTTCTGGTTGATCTCTAAAACCTGCTGATGCAGACATGCAGGGAACTCGGAGTTCAGCTTTCAAGTTGGCAGGATAACCCAAGACACCAAGCCTAATTCTCTCCGGGTCCCAGCGCTGTGGCCGAGCGGCTACCTCCTCACTGTACGTAGCCCCTGCAGCACAGAGGCGCTAAAAGATTTTTTTTTAAGTAGCAGATACTATCTGATTTTCCAGAACATAAATTATTTGCAGTATAAAGCCCGCAGGATCCAGTCCCAAATGGACCTTCCCTCTCACTCCCTGCACTTCCCCATGGTCTCTGGCCCAGGCACAGCTGAAACCTTGCCACACCCCAAGCTGGATGCCCCCTCTCCTCAGGACAGCAACCTCAAGGCCACATTCAAAGGTTACTTCTCCCAAGAGACTCCTCTCCCCATGCTGAGCACTCAGTCACTCCCTGCCCTGGGACCACAGTGCCCGCCACCTCCCTCCACGAAACTCAGACCCTGCTCCTGACAATGATGTGCCTGCACCTGGCTCTCGCCCTGCACGGCAAGTCCAGGGGGCCAGACATTGGGGCGCATTGTGTCTCCTAAGTTGTCAGTTACAACTGGAGACTGCTTTCACCTTTTTAAAAAAATAATAAAAACTACTTTCAATGGGTTATATATTTAACCAGTGCAACCCGTACTGGGAGCTCCTGGTTCTAGCGAGCAAGCCCAGCAATCTTTTCTTAAGATTTGTACGTGGCTATTTTGTGCAAACAGGACATCAGATTCAGAATTCTGTTCTCTTCATTTCACCTCCCTCCGGGCCTGCAGGAAAGACAGAGGTGCAGCCTGCATTCCCAGCCCACCAGGAGAGAAAGTGCAAACCACACAGGGGCGGATGCACTGCTGGCCAGAGCACACCATGTGAGGAACTCTGGAAGAGAAGAAAGAAGGTAGAAAGCCTGTCATTGGGCTTTCAGTACATCAAAAAGAAGTTATGGACTCTTATGGACTAAGAGTAAAGAGAAAGTAATCCAGAGGTCACAGTGGACCACCAGCTGAATGACTCAAATGCCGTTTGCTTTTTGAATGGGTGGCTAGAAGACACCAACAGTAGGCAAGCATGCAGGGTCCTGCACAATCTTTTCATTATGTCTCTTTCTGATCAAATCATTGCTAAAAGCTGCTACATATATTCTAGATCCCACATATACCCTTGAACTTAGAAGCCAAACCTAACTAAAGAATGTACAGTTTCCTTGAAACTAGGAACCCAAAAGTTGTAAGATGCACCATTATTTTATCACGCACGAAGAAAAATGCTGCCAATTAAACTATGACATGCTTTCTTCTTCCCTAGAATTTTCATTTTATTTTTATTGAAAGAGCTATTTCAGACTTATTCAGACATATATCCTTATAGCATATCACTCTTGGGCACTTATAAAAAGAAAATAAAAGTAAAATAAATCGGTTAAGGCAATGACAACCAGGTCACTTGGCTGCAAGCAATTGTAAAAAGCCATTGATTTGGAAAGTACATCCCAGTTTCAGAAATGTTAAAATCTGGGGGAAAAATTGCACACACCATAGAATCAATAAAATACAATCTTATGCCTAGTTCGGTGACAACACTTAGGAAGGACAAGGTAACAGTTCACAGGATAACTGCTACAAAGATATTTCATTGATTAGAAAATGTATTTATATAGAGGGGGGAAAGTTGAGATTATTCTTTGACTCGGGAAAGACAAAAGTAGAATAGGGATTTAATAATGTTCTCCAAAGACATCAAAGCTCTGTCCCAAAAAGCAGTGATTTCCCACTGTGCTTTTTTCCCTTTACTTTCTCAGCAGCGGGACCTCTTTGTAAAATACCGTCCTGCAAGAAAGCCGAGCAGAGAGCTGTTCTGGCTGGAGGAAGAGACAGGCCTGCGAGGCCATGGGCTCAGGACCAGCTGAAACCCTGGCCTGGAGAGAAGACATCACTGACCACCCACTCCCTGCGACAGCCACAACACAATGACTGGGGTTTAAACATGGCATTAATCAACCAAACATGTGCAGTGGTCTGTAAAATACAAAGCCGTCCTGGGTGCCCATCATACAGAGATTAATCAAGAATGGAGGGGTTTGTTAGCCTCCGAGAAGAAATTCCCCATGTGTAGACTTCAGACCTTGAGATGACTGCCAAAAGATAAGAGTTTTTAACCAGTCACCAAAGGAGCTGTATTGACCCTAACAGGTCCGAGGCCCTCCCGCCAAGGCAAGGGTGAGTCCACCCTCCCCATAAGGCCCATGGTAGCTCTCCAGTCTCTGTCTGCAACACCAGCCTCACTCTCTCTCTTTTCAAATTAATTTTAGAAGGAGGAAGGGCGGGAAAGGGGAGGGGGGGAGAACCATAGATTTGTTGTTCCACTTATTTATGCAGTCATTGGTGGCTTCTTTATGTGCCCTGACCAGAGACCAAACCTGCAACCTTGGTCTATTGGGATGACACTCTAACCAACCGAGGCACCCAGTCAGGGCCAACACTAGTCTCTTTTAAAATGCAAGACAGGTTCGGCCGGTGTAGCCCAGTGGTTAAGCATCGCTAACCCTAACCCATGTACCAGGAGGTTGCCAGTTCAATTCCCGGTCAGGGCACATGGCCAGGTTGTGGGCCCAATTCCCAGTGGGGGGGCGTGTAGGAGGTGGCCAAGCGATGTCCTCTCTCATCGATGTTTCTATCTCTCTCTCCCTTTCCCTTCCTCTCTCTCTAAAGTCAATAAAGAAAAAATATTTAATATATATTTATATATATACATCTATATAAAATAAATAATAAAAAAATAAAATGCAAGACAGATGTGTCTGAGTTTGGACAGCACAGGCTCTTGCCCCATGCCCACGCGTGTGGCCAAAGCCAGTAACTTGCTATACTCTGCTCTCGGAAACAAATCCAACTCCCCAACAAAAGAGCAAGTAGTGCATATCCTTCTGAAGGCGGGGACACACACGGGCCTGGGGACGCTTGAAAATCCCCATCAGAAAGCTCGATGTTTCTTCAGCCCCGTTTTCTCTATTTCTTCTCCTAATACTGACTCAAAAAATCCCTCTTTACTAGTTGGGGTTCTTTTGTTTAGAATTTTTAAAATTCTTTTCAATTCCAGTTGACATTCAATATTATTTTGTATTAGTTTCAGGTGGACAATGTATTGGTTAGACCCTCTTGTATGGTTAGACCCATTTCAATCTAGGCTCCAACCCACAACCACTCCTCCCCCACCCAACTCACACAGCTCAGCACACCCAGCCAGCCCCTCTGGGAGGGAAAGGACGGTCTGAGCTCGGCAAATGAGCGTTTCCACCGCAGAGCCATAGCAAATACAAACAACTTGCAGACTTTGTCTTGGGATGATTAAAGAAAGCTGGTTTTCCACACGTAGGGTTATCAGACCATCCGGGTTATTGCTCCAGCGACGGCCAAGGTAGGTTAGGCTGACCCGTCCCCTCCTGTGCCCCTGGTGCTGCCAGGCAGCTCTGGAGGGAAAGTTCTTGGTAAAGGGGGATAAGCCACCCAGTACAGGAGGACATTTCTTTGGTTAAGGGCACACTCTTGCTCTAAGCACCAACTCCGTTTTCAGCCTGATTTTCCAGTCTGTAGTTACTATAAGTGGAGATTTATCAGGAGTGAGAAAAGTCAATCTGCATCCCATTTTATTCCCTACACATAAGAAACCTTAAAGGTTTTCTTTAACAGATGGCTTCCAATTAAGTTGCGTTCTGTGAATGAACAGTGTACGGAAGCTAAGCTAGTCTACGTTCTGAAGTAGACAACTTTCTGCCCAGAGGCATGAAACTGCTGATCTGACCTGGAGACTACGAGGTCAGAGGGCTTCACACTGACCTCAGAAATTCATTCTGCAGTGAAATGATCATTATTCTTCCACTCCCCCAAAAACCAACCTCAGAAAAAGTACTCTCTCTATTTGAAATAACACATAGTTTAAGTCAACAGAAATAAAATGCAAAAGATTTGTGAATGCCCTGGCCAGTCTGGCTCAGCGGTTAGAGCGTCAGCCCATGGACCAGAGAGTCCAGGGTTCGGTTCCCGCTAAGGGCACGTACCTCGGTTGCAGTTTGTCCCTGGCCCCAGTTGGGTTGTGTGGGTGGCAACCAGTCAATATGTCTCTTTCACATCAATGTTTCTCTTCTCCCCCCCTCTCTCCCTCCCACTCTATCTGACGATAAATGCAAAAATGTCCTTGGGTAAGGATTAAAAAAGAAATTTTTGTGAAAAGAGGGCAGGTCATTAAATAGTGTCCCCTGTATACTTTCAGAGCTGACAGAGCTCAGACAAAGAAACTGAGGCCCAATAAGGTTAAGTCAGATCATAAAAGACACACTAAAGTCTTCTGGGCAGAGTTAGGGTTTGAACCCAACCATGCAACACGGTCAAAACTTTAGATTTTTTAAAATTTAAGATGCATATTTCCTTACCAGAATTACTTCAAAAATGAGTGGGATCAGTTTGCTTTCTTCCACAAGTCTGTTGAGAAATAAAAAGAGAACCGCACATCAGACATCTCATACGCAAGCTGCCGCCCTCCTAAAGCATGGCAGCCCCGCGTGTTGCTGCTCAAATTCTGCGACCGAGAAATCACCTGATTAAATGCATGCTTGTGTTTAATACACTGAGCTACAGATATTAAACATGAGAACTCTGAAGCCTTTTTGCAAATGACCATTAGCTTAGCCTTACCAATCTGTAGCAAGCAAAATCTCAGAATGATATTATAAATGTAAGTTTTTATCAACATTCACAATTATTACAAAGACTATCAAGCTGGGCAATGCCAGCTCAATGGCGTAACCCATCCTCACAGCACAGTGAAAGAATGAGCACGTCACACTGGGATCCCTCACCTGTGCCTCATCAGGTATCTTCTCAGCATTCATGATTTAATGAACAGTGATTTTTCAATCATCTTTAAGATTGTAGACACCATTCACCCAACAGACTCCGGGTGCTTCCTTCGTTAAACCTAGTTAAAAACTGTCATCTACTAGAAAAAATTTTCCATGCAATTTAAGAGAAAATAGCCTTGACTCAAAAGGGACAGTTTTATTACAAAACAATACTTTATTTCTAAATATTCCTTTGGTCCAAGGGTCAGCAAACTTTTTTTTCTGTGAAGGGTCAGACAGTAAATATCTTAGGCTTTGTAGGCCACATGTCTCTGTAGCAACTTCTGAACACTGTGATGGAAAAGCAGGCATCAGTAATACATACATCAGTAGGCATGGCTGTGTTCCAATAAAGTTTTATTTACAAAAACAGGCAGTGTGCCGTGTTTGGCCCACAAGCTGTAATCTCTGATCTTGCTCCAGTATGGACCCTAAGTCCGATTCCTGAACTTTGCTGGAATGTACTGTCTGACAGATGGCAGCGCCGAAGATGCTGCCCTCGCAGGCTGGCGCCGTCTGCCCAGTTCCCAGAGTACGCCAGGTGGGTGCAACGGGAATTTATCCCCTGGCCTCCCTGGCGCTTGTTTGTCTATGATAATGCATTGATTTAAAGAAAAAATCCTGTGAGACTAGCCCCCAAAATCACCATGTTTACAAACACGTGTTGAGGGAAAGGGGATGCAGAGCGAGTCCCACAGACAGGCTCAGCCTCAGACAAACCGATGGTTACTCCTGTAGCTCCAATACAGTAGAGGGAAAGGTTCTGACTGCAAATATCAAATTCACCTATATTCTCTCACTTTCCTGGGACACTGCAGGCTCAGATCTGAATATGAAGCGTCTCACCCCACGGCTGGGCAGAACGGGAAAAGCAGACTCAAGACCAAGCACAGCTTCAGGCCAGCACCTTCTCCATCTTCTTCCTCAGCTTCCTACATGGTAACTATCTCTTTTCCCAAATTGGTCTTTTTAAATTTTTTAAATAATATATAGTGTTATTCAGCCCGGGCTGAAATAGCCACGCTCGTACATGTCAGAGTTGACCTAACAACCAAGGCCAAGAGTCACCGGACGCAGACACCACTGCTTCTCCACCGGTACCTGGAAGTCACAGGTCCCTCTACCCCAGTCACCCACACACCAGATGCAAGCGTCCACTCCCAAGGCCAGGCTTCTCATGATAGTGTTGTAAAACATGTGCCCAGCTGGTGTGGCTCAGTGGTTGAGCATCGACACATGCACCAAGATTGGTCGCCAGTTGGATTCCCAGTCAGGGCACATGCCCAGGTTGTGGGCCCAATCCTCAGTGGAGGGCGTGCGGGAGGCAGCCAACTGATGTTCTTTCTCAACGATATTTCTATCTCTCTCTCTCTCCTTCCTTCCTCTCTAAAATCAACAAAGAAAAATTATAAAAATAAATAAAAAAATAAAATATAGCCTGGCTGCTGTGGCTCAGATGGTTGAGCATCATCCCATGCACCAAAAGGTCGCTAGTTTGATTCCCAGCCAGGGCAATATTTCTCTCTCTCCCCCCTCCCTTCCTCTGTCTAAAAATCAATAAAAATTTTTGTTTTGATAAAATATACTCTACTAATAACATATGACTACTTCAACAACCTTAATTCATCCTTAAAAATGACAGCAGGTGCTTCTTCGGGGTTCTGCAGGATGTGCAAGCCGCCCTGAACTACCTCTGACGTCTCCTTTAACTGGATTCTAACCACCGGTCCTTACGTTCTTCGGAAAACAAACAAGCATAACAACTTTGTTCTTTGATCTGACTAACATCATTTAGGACCACATCTGGAAAACAAGAAGGGAACTCCAGCTGAAAAAAAATGTTTTTAATTAAAAAAATTTTCTATGACATTTTCTGTGATTCACAGACTAACCCCAAATGTAATTCCAAAAGAACTCTAAAGAAAGGACCAAACCGAGCAGCTGTAAACATCTGCAGACGGGGAGAAGTGAGCAATGAGATGTGCTTGCTGGGTATCGACTAGCATCTTCTTAATTAAAAATAATAAAACAGGGAATGCCCAAGGGTGTCACACACAGCATTGTTACCTGGCAGTTTTGTTTCAGTTGTGGGCGTACATACAGGGTGGGCAAAAGTAGGTTTACAAGTTGTGAGAACACAAAACTCAGAGTTTATTCTAGTATTATTATTTATTAATTACTGTATTATTTTTCACACGAACAACTGTAAACCTACTTTTGCCCCACCCTGTATGTGTACTGGGTAGTGACGGAAAATGCTTTTTTTTTTTAACCACAAGTTGTAGGTAAAACAGCTGAAATCCACAGACTGCAGATTGCTGTGGAAACGATATTCATTTGTCTTCAGTATGTTCTTAACGTTCGAGTTTAGAAACTCGGTCTCCCTGCTTGAAGCATCTTTCCTACAACACAGGTCCAGTGAGCGGCCCACGTCTCAGATCCTCCAGCTTGCTTGGCGCAGAGGCGCAGAGCCCCGGCGCCCCCAAACCTGGGGGCGGGCCTCTGCGGGCCAGGGAGGACAGGCTCACCTCGAAAGGCTGATGTGGCCGGTTCTCAAGGAATTACTCAGGCAGCAAGTCTTGTCATCAGAGCAGGCTCTGGAAAATCATGATGCCAATGACCATCTTATTTTAGGGCTCTGTTGTGGTTGGCCACCACGAGTTTAAATCACCAGGATCATTTTACTCCATGAGCCTGTTCAATCCTAAATTCAAAAAGAATGAAATTTCGATGGTTTAGGGACAGCCTGGAGGACGGGAAGTGAAGGGATTTATCTGAATTTTTTTTTCACCAAAAACAAACAAAATAGAGATCTTTTTGAAATTATCCCTAATCTTCAAAGGATTGTGAAGATATTAACTACAATACAATACACTTTTCGTCCTTTATTTAGCCATCCCGGCACTGCGTTTAAGTCATTCCAGATGAGTAAACTGAAATATACTATCCTTCTCGAAAGTAGTTCCTGGGACAACTTTACTGTGGTTTTTTTGGTGGGGGCAGGGGCGAGGGTTGGGGGATTGCTTTTCTTCTTAACAGTAAACTTTAATGATAGATTGTGTGTGGTTAGAGGGTTTTCCTTGCAGGTTTTGTTTCGGGAGATTCACTGGGATTTTTGTATATTTGTGGTTCGTGTTATTAAACAAACAAGTTGCTGTTTGAACTAGAAAATTTCAAGTAAACTTATGAAAATTTTTAGGATACAGTATTTGACATTCTAATTCCCTCCTGTGCCTGAAGTAAATGTTGCCCTGGTGTTGGGAAAATTTTCTTAAAATGTATTTGATGCTTGATAGCTAAGACTCACTATAAAGTAAATCCAGCAATATTTAGACATAAATGACTAGATGCACCTGTCCTCACCCTCTGAAGGCCTCTCCAGTGACGTCTGGCACCTGGACGGGGTGACTCCAGGAGGCTCAGTTCACCTGGTGACTGATCACCTACGGCTGGCCCCTCGCCCGGTGGCAGCGGGTGCCGAGAGTTCTCAGAGAACCAGGTGTGACTCAGGCGGAGGAGAGCTGGTCACCTCCTGCTGGGGCGTGGAAGAGAAGTGTGTGGGACTGGAGAGGTTTCTGCAGCCCCTTGGTAAGACTCAGCCTGCCAGGACTGGTCAGTGACACACAGAAATTGTACCAGCTGCTTATTCTACAGATGGTCTGAGGAACACTAGTCTAGAACCAGAGCAACCAGTTAACAGGCTGGCACAGCGATCTGAGAGAGGCAAGATTGGAGCCTCATATCCATTTTGTTGCTGAATAACAAATGATCATAAACTTAGTGGCTTCAAGCAACACCTTTTTATTATTTCAGCACCCTCAGGTCAAAGCCTAGCTCAGCATGGCTGGTACATGCTCAGTGCAGCGGACAGCAGGAACCAAGGTGTTGGCTGGGCTGAGATCTCATTTGGAGGCTGTGGGTGAAAGGGAACTGTTTTTCAACCACATTCTTAATGCTGACAGAATTCAGTTCCTTTGCAGTGTAGGACTGATGTCCCCAGGTCTTCGCTGGCTGTCAGCTAAGGATCCCGCTCAGATCCTAGAGGCCACGCCCATTCCGTGTCACATGGTCGCCTCCATCTCCAAAGCCAGCAATGGAGGATGGATCTCCTCCAGGCGGAACCCTTCTCAATCTTCAAGCCTCTCCGACTTTCCTGTCTCTGACCTCCAAAGAGATTTAAGGTCAGTGAGTTTGAGATCTTCAGTACCTCTCCGGTCACCCTGCACAGTGGCACTAAATGACTGCTTAACTGCACTGGCAGAAGTGTATGCACTGGAGGCTGGGAGCCTTAACAGCCATCTTGACATTTTGTCCACCACTAGCCTGACCTTGCCCTCCACCCCAACTCCATCTGGCCTCCTTTTCATTCTTTAATCCTTAAGCGAGGATATGCTTATTGATTTTAGAGATAGAGAAAGAGAAAAAAAACAATGATGTGAGAAATATCGATCAGTTTCCTCCCGTATGCACCCCAACTGGGCATCGATCCCGCAGCCTTTTGGTGTAAGAGATGACGTTCCAACCAACTGGGCCACCCGGCCAGGGCCCTGCCTCCTTTTTTAAAAAAAAAATAACTCATGC